GGCGAATGTGCCAGTTGTTTCAGTGGTATAAACGCTGTGGCCACTTTTCGGAGTGTGTTTTGCGGGATATCAATCCCATTAATAACCCAATAGAGGAACAAAAGTATGGTTCTAAATCCCCCTTATTAAAAGCACAATGGCTTCTTTTTTGTCCTTTTGCTATATTAAGCATTGAATCACTTCATGAAGCCTTCCCTGATATGAGATTGATTTGGGTACATCGTGCTTTATCACAGTGTATTCCATCATTGTGTTCATCACTGGCAATTCATAATAGTCTCTACACGGGAAAGTCGCCGAGTGATTCTCAATTAGTAACATTGGGAGACAAAGTATTAGGTACTTTTGGGTCTGGAGCTGAATATGCCATTGACTATCTTGCTGATTTTGATAAGAATCGTATGGTGCACTGGTCTAATCGGGATGTGAAGCGGCACACAACACGGTTAGCGACGAAGACCTTGGACTATTTTGGAATTGAAGTAGATAGATACCGCCGTCTGCAGATGATCAACGGTCAAACAGAGTATATAGAAGTTTTTCGTCCTTTGCATGATGCACAAATGCCGTACTTTGGTTTGCATGATGGTGTTGTTAGTGAGGTCTTTGAAGATTATATTTATCAGTTTGAAGAGTTTGCATATGAAAATAGGTTTGGTGTTACGATTGAAGAATATCAACCTTTGGCAGCTCCTGCGGATCAGCAATCCCTTGGAACTTTGAGGGTAAATGGCGGTGACCAACCTTCCTTTCCATCCTTTGCGGACGGTCAGCCAATGGATGGCCACTTCTTACAAGAAAACAAGGGGTTCAAATGAGATGTTGAGGCGGAAATATTTTAGAGGAGTGGAAACTTTGCATTTCCATGGAACCTTTTTTTCTCCCGGATGAATATTATTTGCTTATTGCATACATACGCATTTTATTGTCGTTTTTTTTTTTTTTTTTTTTTTTTTTTTTTTTTTTTGTTGTTGTTGTTGTTGTTGTTGTTGTTGTTGTTGTTGTCATTTTTGCATTTGCCCTCTTTATGAAGTCTGTGTTTTTTGTATGTGGTATTTACTTGCTTTGGAGTGCAGCTTGTAAATGTTTATCAGACTGGCGATTTGTAATTCTCTGCCTGTCTACGTAATTTAACGAGACTGTGTAAACGATAAGTCCGAGAAGTGTAATGGAGTTTACGTTTTTGTTTGTTTTGTATTTTTCTATATTTTGTGATAATGAGCAAATAAAGAAAGAAAAAAGTATTTGGAAACTAGGCAAAATAGGTGGAGTTCACGGCGTATTTTTCTCATAGATTGACATCGAGTCGTTTCTTTGTGGTCTCTTTGGCTTGTTCTCCTTTGTGAAGAAACAAGAAGTAGAAGAAAAAAAAGGAAAGGAAAGAAACGCTTCACATCATTTTTTTAAGCAATGACTGAGGGACGCTTTGAGACGATTCACAATCTTCGGCCCAAAAATTGGGATGGACGCCGTCATTGGACCAATTGGCACCACCTCTACGACTGTGAAAAGGATCACTTGGAGCGCGAAAGCTGTCCATTTCATGACCTTCGTGCTGGGGGACAATTTCAATATGAATACATGGGAGGTGGGGGTTTTCAGGCTCCTATTCCTCCCAACCGTCTTAATGATCGTCCAAATGGGGACAGAATGGATTTCGCAAAGGGACGTGGTACACAAGTCGGCGGTCTTGGAGACATCCCGTTGGATGTGGAGGCCGGAAACCCCATAAAACACAACAAGCACCCGGGAAAAACTGTGATACACACCAAGAGGAATCCATTGAATCGTGGGTTATTCAGTAACTACCCGTATATGCCCGATCCGCTCGATGGTAAGGCTGCTGCACGCGATCCCAGAGGTGGTGAGGGTGGAATAAGGGCCGGACGTGTCGATGGCTTTGGCCAGGCGCCAGAGTGGATAGCGGATCCGTATAACGACAAAATTGACCGAGGGCGCATTCATCACCTAAAGGCAGGACCATTGAATTACAGACCGGAGGGTATTCCGCCCTGGATGCCAGAAGGAGAACCCGAAAAACGCAAAAAGCGAGAGTATGGTGCGTTCTATGCTGGTAAACCAAGTGGTATCATTAATGATATAGAGTGGATTCCCGATCCACGAATTGAAACTGGAGTCAAGAGGCACGCAAGACCTTTCCGCACTTGGCACACACGAACAAAGTGGTCCATGCCCACACATGCGCCGTGGTCCACGGGAAAAATCACGGCGGAACCATTTCGTGGGCAAAACTTAGATGTAACAACGGCCGGATTGCCCTCCTTAGACACTTACAGAAGGGTGAACTTGACACCGAGTATCGGCAAGGAAGCGGCACTCTCCTTAATAAAAGCGCCAGAGCCTGTAAGGCTAAAATGAGGACCGTTTGGTGTGTGTGTGTGTGTGGGTTTAACATGGCAAGTGAATTTTACCACGGAGTAAAGAGAAAAAGGATCAAATTTGAGGGCAGATTTTAGTCGTCAACCAAGGAGGAGAAACGTGTTGCATCGTTGAATCCATCATGGCCTAGTTCTCTGAGACTGCTGTACTTTTGAATTTCCACATACTTCCTTTCTCTTTACTGGGAAAGTTTTACCGCTTGCTTGAATCTTACTGTTTCGTTTCAATTTGATCTTTTTTGTGTATTTTTTGGTTTGAGCACTTTTTAAATTTTTTCCATTGATGTAGATTTTTTTCCCCGAGTGTCTCATTGGTGTACGCTTACCCAAAGATGCATATTTGAAAATTATTTTCACATGTAGTTATGGTTGTCTACTTGTTATTTGAGTGATGATGGAAAATCTTATGCGGTTATTCCATCTTGTTCTTGATGTACTGGAATGCCTGTGTGTGTGTGTGTTTGTATTTTTGTGATTACTTCAAGAAATGAATGTCATTATTTCACTTTTGGACTTTTTTTTCTTTGATTTTGCATGCGTCCAGAGAAAAGGGCATTGTGCGATGTATGATGACTTTTCTTGTCTTATGTCGCATGTGTCCTGGGTCTGTTTCTCGTTCAAATACCCAAAGAATATTAGGAGTTGGAGGATTGAATTGCGGTGGCCGCCGGTATGGGAGTAGAAACGAAACTTCAGCCAAAGGAGCTTCTCGGGGCGCATTATCTCCTTCCATGTCCAAGGAGACAAATTCAACTCTATCGTCATTGCCCAACGCACAGAAATTGTTTTACGATTTGCCTATTCAGGTACACGAAATACTTCGTTTAAACCATTGGCAAGATGCCATACGTTTTATTTCATCTCTTTCTTCTTCATCTCAGAAAGAAGGTGCCGAAGCAAGGCCCCTCACTTCAAGTTGCGAATCACTCATTGCCGCATTACTCTACCATGGTCATGGAGAAAGTGCATTTACTCTCTGGCGTATTGCCTCCACAAACTTCGACTTTGCCCCGTCACCGATGACGATGATGAAGCTTGCTGTTTACACCCTTCTTCTGGACCGCAAGGCTCAGGAGGCCCTTGACCTTGTGGCAATGGCAACAATACCACTGGAAAGTAAGACGGTCGCTGAAGGGCCTGTCTTGGAACTGATTGCGCTATGGACGACTGTTTTTGCGGCGCTTTCTCCCGACGAAGAGAGGAATTTGCAGGAAAAACATGTTAAACTGGAACAAAAGGTAGAAAAAGCCCTTGTAGACCTGCTGCGCCTGTCACTCCAGACGGCGAGGAAAGGTGACACGCAGTTGAACGCGGAAAGGCTACAGCTTGCCCTACATGCTCTTTTGTCATTGACACTGCTTAGAGATGGGAGCGAGGTGTGGCATAGGCTTATTTCCTCATCTTTCTTGGAGAGTGACGATCCTTCGGTTGGCACCCTCTCTCGCGTGGCAGAAATACTTTCCATGAAACCATTTGATTACAATACAACTGCCTTCTTCTCAGATGATGTGTCTTTTTTGATTACTCGCATATTTTTACTGCCGTTGGTTTGGTCTTCCGAAAATTCCACCCCTTTGCTGTTGGGGTTAGAGGTGTACAGGAGTTTTTTCATTGCCAAGCCTGAACCTCTGTCGTCAGAGGTCGGAAATGCATATTTTCCTTTTACTGATAATGCGTCTACTAGTAATACTACTACTAATAATAATGCTTCCGCTGCACACACGACGGTAGGAAATGTGTTTTTGCGACGGCTTATACAAAATAATCTTGAAAAGTCGTTTCTTCATTCAGTTGTTTTGCATGATATGAATGCGTCCCGTACGTCTCTCATGACACATCTACTAGAAACCCCTATTAAACGTGATTTGTGTGATTTGTTAAGCTACAGATTTGGGAAGGAGTTTATTTCTGTTGTGAAGGAGTCCTCATTGAGTGGGGCGCAGCGCACGCCTTTTCTTGGGTATGTTTCACGGGCGCTTAGTCCTTTTTTTAGCAAGGATGCACGACAGAGTGAAACTGGGACACACATCGGAGTCGACACCTGTAAAAGTATTGTTTGTAGGAACAAAAATTTTTATCTGGAGTTGCTTTCCAACTTGATAACGGAGGTGCCTGCTGCCGAGCTTAAAGCATGGCGTCGTTTTGTGGTTCTTCTGACGGGTGCAATCATCAGGGACACGGACGGTAGCGCTCCAGCAACCATATCGCAGGAGTTGCGGCTGCAGCTTCATTTGCGTTGGTGGCTTCCGGAGCTGTTGGCGATGGTGGATACCACGCGTGAATGTAGTTTGTGGGTGGCGCCACAACGTGCAGTCTTCCCTGGTGCTACAACGGAGTGGGAACAGTCGGTGTGCATGATCTTGCGCACTCTTCACAGAAAAGAGCACCGCAACAGAAGCGAAAACCCACTGGGCTGGGCGTCTCTCAATAACGCAATTAGCAAGGATTTGCACAGCACTGATGAGGCCTCAGAAATCTCGCATGGTGTTAGTCGTCTGCTTGTACAGCGCGTTGTTCGTTGGGAATGGCTTTTGAAAGGCCTTTGGAATTTTGCCCGAGAGACCAGTCGTAATGGGAGTCAAAGCACATGGAGGAACCTTTTGGAGGTTTGCGTTGAGACGCTAAACCACTGTAGGGTGTTTCACCGTCACGACATTGCAAGGGATCTCATAGAGACCCTGTTTCTTCCCGCCGCTCCCTTTTTGCCACCTTTGGCAGAGTCGCCCAGGGAAGGCACTTCTTGTGATAAGACCCTCATCGCACTGCTCATCAATGGGTCAAATGACACTCTCAGGACCTCCACTACACTAATGGAGTTACGGTGGCGTTTGGTGGATGAGGTGTCTCGCTGGATGCCTGCATTTCAGGGCTGGGCTTTCATGAGAGGATTGCAGGCGCTATTGCCATGTTTTCCACATGATGCGAAGAAAAGTTTTATATCACTGGAAAACCTTATAAATGATCTCTTGAACGGAAAAGGTAAAGATGAGGTGCCTGGCACCAGAGAGCGAGAGCGGGTGGGTAAAGTTTTTGAATGGTATGAGGAAGCCTGCCGCGACGATCTCTCGCTTCGGACGCCACAGCTACTTTGTCCACTTTCTCGAGCCATGCGTCGGGCTTCTCTTCTTAACTCTTTCAGTGAACTAATGAAAAACACATTTTGGGATATTCAACGTGGTTTTCACGCACCGCGGCCTTCCTCAGCATCACGGCTATTGGTAGAGGCATTGATCTTTTATTATGTGCACCATGCTGTGGCCACAACCCGAGCGAAACTTGGTGGAGATGCAGATGTTCTTTTAGAGCTCTCCAACACCGCCTATGATAATGCCAGAAATATGGTTGCCACTTTTGCAGAGAACTACATTCTTGCCTTGTGGAAAGAGGACTGCTTTCCTGCTTTGGAAACCATGTTGCTGAAGCCCGCCGCTCCCAATGAAGGCTCAAATGCGTCATCAACATCGTCAGTATTGGCTTTTCCAAAGGCCATGAGTCATAAGGACTATTTTTTCTCTGCTGAAATTGCGTATCTTTTACCAGAGGCGGAGCGTGAGGCATTACGGTTGTTTCTGCTTCTGACATTTGCGCAACGCTTCGACGGTTTCTTATATACAACTGTATTGGGGCGGCTTCCCCGAAACAAAACAGATCCTGCACGCGTTGCTGCATTTGTGGACCGCCTTGTAGCAGAAGAACCGTGTCTTTTTTCTTCTTTGGGCACTGTAGCGCAGCAGGCAGCAAGGGAGAAGTGGCGATTGCGTGAATTTTGTGCATCCATTGCCGCATCGCATAAGAAAGGTGAGACTAAGGAGCAGGAGACAAGAACACGGATTGGTGACAGAAATCATGTGCGTACCGTCAGAGAATTAAATCGTTGTATTGATAACTGTGATTGGGTGAAGGCCCTGCGGGCAATTCCGCACGTAATTAGCGACCCGTTGCACGTTGCGCGCAAGGCATTACTGGCGTGTGAAAAGGCCCCAAAAGGAGCCACCTGGCAAGGCACGATGAGCATTTTTGTCAACTCCAGGCACTCGTGGGAACAAGTGTCACCAAAAAAAAATCGGGAGCAAAATAAATTGGGAGACTCTTCCCGTTTGCGTGCCACCATAGGAATTCAGGAGTGCGGGCGTATCATGACACTTCTAGCCGATGCAAGACGCTGGTGTGAGGCGCTGCAAGTATTTGAACTTCTTGGTCCTTACGGGATGGATGGTTACACCTTTTCTCAGGCGTGTTTTGCTCTTCGTACCGGTGGTCACCCAGAATTAGCCATAGATTTGTGGGCGATGTGGCGTGCATATGTAGGTGATGCTGTGGAGCCAACGGCGCAGATGTGCGGACATTTTCTGCGTTGCGGTGTGGTAGGCAACACAACGGTGGCAGACGCAGCGTGTGTAATGTTAAAGTTGGCGGTCCATGCATCTGCCCGCCAGAAAGTGACTGTCACCCCAGAAATTTTCTCTCCTCCCAATGACGATTGTACCCCAGGGACGACCCTTCCTCTCTCTATAGAGAAGGAGGAAAAAACAATTACCGCTCTTCTCCGCGATCGTTGGCATGAGAGTTGGCAGGAGGCGCTACGAGTTGCTCTTGTGAGTGAAAGACCGCGCATCATTCATGCCGTTGCACGGGAGTCGCCCAGCAACTATCATTTGTATGAAGCCGTTATGCAACACGTCACGCGAGCACATCGAAATCTTTCGATGGAAGAGAGAAGCGCTATTGCAGGGCATTTGGATCTCAAGACTGCGCTAAATCCAAAAGGCAATTCTGTGGATTCCGGAGAAGACCGTGCTGCTCGTGTGCTACGGGAACTGTTGGGTGACGAAGAGGGGGATTAAACTGCAGCGATACATACAAATCTATAAATTACCCCTATGCGTACGTGCGGATATTCATGCATACACGTTACATGAAACGACTTATACATGCGTTTATAAACCGCGATGCGTCGTGAAAGAAATAGTGAGGGAAGTATTTTTTACTTTTTTGAGTGTATGTGTGGGTGTGGGCATTTCCCTTTTTTTTTATTTTGCCTTTTTTTTTTTTTTTTGCGTGGCTTGCCTTGTATTTCTTTTGTGTGCGTGTGTGTGTGTGTGTGTGTGTGTGTGTGTGTGTGTTACTGAGGTGATCATAAAAGGAGGTTCATGATAGATGTCAAGTGAGGCGACAGTTTTGGAGCACCAGCCAGCGTATCGCCCAGATGACCCGGAGTTCTACCTGCAGGATCAGGGGCAAAGGAGTCCTGGAGCCGAGTTGGTCAACGTGTTGGGACGTATTGCAATTCGTGTAGCCCGTCTTATCGCTCTGAACTGCCTGTGGGCGCCTGTCAATCGGATCTTTTTGCTGCAGTGCACAGAGGGGGAACTTATCCAAAATGGGCGGCTTTCACATGGTGGGTTTGGGGGCATGCGGGGCTGTGCCCATTACATCATGAAGAAGGAGGGGGCCGTGGGACTGTTCCGTGGATGCTTCACAGAAATGGCGTTATCGATTCCGGCTTACATCGCCCAGGTTACGGTAATCCTCTTTACTGTGCGGTTACAACAGCAGTTGGTGGTGATCTCTCGGCCCGCTTCAGTCATGCTTGGGGTGGCGGCACCAGGACTACGCGTACTGCTGACAGCACCTATTGTGGGTTCAAAAAAAACCGTCATGGGTAACTTTGCCGCGGACATTGTCGCATGCAAAGGTGACGTGGTGACAACGGATGATGAGGAGGAAGAAGCGTATTTGTATTGCTCTGCGTGGGAGGCCGCAGCGGCAGTACAGAAGCGTTGGGGTTGGAAAGGACTTTTTTTCAAGGGTGTAGACGTAGACATCATTGCCATCTACACACAGAGCCTCACGATGCAGCTGATGGGAATGGCGATTGCGCCCAAGGTCGAAGAAATTATAGAAGAGCATTTTCAGCGGCCAGGGAGGAAGGCTGCTGCGATGATCGCCTGTACTATTGGTGTGCGCCTTATCTGCAGCTTTTTATTTCAGCCGTTTCAGGTCATACGCGCACGCATGACACTTCTCTCCACGAGTGTGAGGCAGAAACAGAAAAGAAACTGCCGGTTCTGGCATCACGCAAAGGATATTCTGCGTCAGGACGGAATTACAGCGTTCTGGGCTGGGCTTCGCATGCGATTTCTTCTCGATGTAGGCGGTATTCTGCTTAGTATGCTTATGGTGCATTGAGAAGCAGGGGGGCAAAGTCATATATATATATCAAGCAAAAAAGGAAAGAGAGGGAGGGTGATTCATGAATTTGTTTTTTGTTTTTTTTGTTTTTTGTTTTTTGTTTCTGTGGATGGATGAACGGAGCAACGAAGAAAATACGGCCATGTCATCCGTTATTAGTTAATAATAGTCTACGAAGACTACACAATTTATTGGTCATCCTTGTTGGATGAGTTCTTATTATTATTATTATTTTTTTAACTTCTTTTGTCTTTGGCGTTCAGATTTTCAGTTGCTCTTTTTTGTTGTTGCTTTTTAAGGTACATTCCCCTCCTTATAATAATCACCACCACCAATACGAAGGAAAGGAGGGCGACAAATAAGGAAGCGCAGAGAGGCCCGAGAAATTCAAAAAAAAAAAAAACGAGGTGGACTTCAAGAGGAAAACTATATAACATAAACATTTGTATTCAATCATAACTGCCCCGTGTGCGTGCGTGTGTCTTTGTGTGTGTGCGCGTGCCATTTTGTTGCTCATTGGAGAGTTTTATTTCCTTTGTTGCTTCTTGGTGTGGTTTTTTTGTTTGTTTTTTTGGGCCTTTGGTATTCCCTACTCTCGTCCTTGTTGCTTTTCAGCTCACAGAAGCTAACGGATTGAGAGCGAGACAGAGACGTCAATGACAGAGGGCCAGCCCTACGGTTATGCGCCATCATCAGGAGAAGTGATGGTCGATATGGCCGCTTCCCTGGTTGGCGTCTTCTTGCAGCGTGTTGTCATGGCGCCGTCGCACCGCATCGCCGTCTTGACGGTCGTGGAGGCTGAGTTAGTCCATGAGGGTCGGCTGCCGTCAACAGGGTTTGGCGGCATCATTGGCTGCGTGCGGCGTGTCTATGCAAAGGAGGGTCTCAGGTCCTTCTTTCGTGGGTTTCTGATAGACGCCGTTCTTGCTGTACCGTCTGCGGTCATGGAAGAAGTGAGCTCGTCGCTGGTTTCAGAGCTGTTGGGAGTGGTGTTGCCTTTCGATAGAGTGCAACAGATGTCGCCGTTGGTGTGGGTCACTTTGTCGCTTGGTTCACATCCGTGTCTGTTCTGATTGCCACACCGGTGACGGGGATCCAAAAACACATTGTGACCAACTACGTTGGTGACATCGTTGCACCCCACCCCGCAGCAGGGGATGTGAAGGAATATGTGAAGGAGGGAGATTTTGGGGAGGAAGAAAAGGAAGAGTCGTACAAGTACAATTCCGCGTGGGAAACTGCAGCAGACATCCGCAGACGATACGGTTTTCGTGGGTTTTACCGCGGTTTTGGGCTGGATGCGATGGCGGTGTTTATGTACAGAGGTACATACTACTACGCGTTACAAATACTTCCACCGGTTTTGCACAATCAATACCCGCACGCTGTCGCGTGTTCTTTGGCAATTGTAGCCAGATGCATCACTCAGCCATTTGAAGTTATCAGTCGCCGCATGCAGCTCACCGCTTCATCGGAGAGGAAGGGGTACAAGGGCATGGTGGAATGCGCCCGCACGATTGTGGCGGAAGAGGGCTACAGCGGGCTGTGGGCAGGCCTTCGGTTGCGGTTGTTGGTCACGTGTGTTTGGATGGCTGCTGTGGAGCTGCGCCGCCTGTACTGAGCTGCAATGACAAGAAGAACAACGTGAGAGGAAGAGAGGGAGGAGAGGAATAACTGGTGTGGGCGTGGGTGGGTGGGGAGTAACTAAGCAGCGAAAAGAAGAGGAAACGAATTGTTGTTTGGTGGTTTTTCTGTACTTCACCTCCAAATAACGGTGGAGCTGCTGCGAATAGCGGGCCAGTGGGAATTGTTGTTTTCTCAACTGTTGGTGTGAGAGGGAAGCATCGCCAAGAGGAGGAAAAAACAGAGGGAATAATGAAACGACGCGCATTAGAGAGAGGGTGCATGGGTGGGAGGGATGGACATGTAATAAGGGCTTGTCACTCCTCTCCCTCTCTCTCTCTCTCTATTTGGCACCTTCGAATAGAAAATTATTCCCGTTATTTTTGTTTTAACCCTTTTGAATCTTGTGGAATTTTTGGACGCAGCGGCTGCCACCACCACCAGCCCTTCTCTTTTGTATACGTGTTTTATTATTATTATTTGTTCTTGTTTTTGTTTTGTCTGCACTGTGATACCGCTTGCTGCTGGACCTTGCCGTGCGTGTGTGTGTGTGTGTGGAGGGATGCTCTGCCTTTAATGCCACCCACCATGTGTGCCTTTCTCTTCGTTTTTTTGTTTGTTTGATTTCACCGTCGCTCATGGCATCTGCACGCATATTTGTATACTTGTGTGCGGGAAACCCAAAAAGAAGAAGAGTGATAGAATAGGGAGGGGCGGCACAGGCGTTATGGTCAGCAAGTATCGTCGTCTGCTCCAACACGATACAAGTGAGGAGAATGAAAACGGGGAAATGGAAAATACGAGGCAGCAACAAAAAAAGCAGACAAATATTCGCTCGTGTAAGGCCTCCGTGCGGGCCAGTGATGAAGATGAGGATGACGAAATCGTCCTAGACGAATTGCATGAGGAGGAAGATGTGACGGAAGGAGAAGGGGGGCAGAAGAAAGTGAGCGATGCTCACTCCGCAGGTGCTTCAGCAGACGCGGCGGCGCCCTCGGTTCGTAGGTTTGGGAAAGGACGAAAAGAAGTGGATTCCGCGACACTCTCGGTAGGGGATCATGAGGATGAGGTGGATGTTAAGAGTGACCAAACTGCGTCAAGGGAAGGTTACGCGAGGAACAGCGTCGACGCAAAGGATCATAAAAATAAGAATAAATTTGTTGTGGATGGGAAAGAAGAAAAAGAGGACGAAGATGAAGAGGATGTGGATGCCGGAGAGGACCAAGAAGAAGATGATGATGACGATGATGCTAATGCCAAGGACACTGCAATAACGGGGGGTTGTGGCCCACGGTTGTATTCCTGTGACGCCTGTCCGCATGCCGTATTCACCACGCACACTGCACTTCTCTCTCACGTGGAGGAGCGCCATGCGGAGCTTGTGCCTGATCACGCGCGTCTGCACCGCATCGCCGAGAAATTCAGCAAGGTCTGGTCGCGGGCTCTCAAGGCCCGCCGGGATGCCATTGCCTTGTGGGGTAAAAAAGTTTTTGCGGTTGCTGTTCAACGTGATGCGGGTGAAGAAAAAATGCAGGAGGCCCACAGAGCCCGTGCGCAGTTGGAGTTGGTCGTGCGCCGCTGGCACGAGAAGGCGCGTGTCTTCATCTTTGGCAGCTCCGTCGCAATGGGTGTGTGGGACGGTATGGCGGACATTGACTTTGCCGTTGTCGATGTGGAGGCTTTGGATGCCGGCAACTGGCCACCTCTTGAGAAGAATGCTGTGCGGTCCATAACGGAGTTGCTGCGGCGCGCAGGATTTTCCTTTGTGAACCTTGAGCCCATTAGCCACGCGCGGGTTCCGATCATCAAGCACCACGCATCATCTCCTATCCTTACGGTAGCAAGAAAGGATGCTGAAGATATTGTAGCTCGAAGTGTACGTTTTGTGTTGAACGCACCTGCCTCCAGGGAGGATCGCGTGATGTTAGAAGGGAGTGTGCGGGATGCCGTGGGGCCAGCGGGTGTGCAGCAGGTGTGGTGGAATCGCACAGGAGATGTGATGTCAATGACACTGGAGAATACAACAACGGCGATTCGAGCAGCGATATGTTCCCCCGCGTTCGTGACTCCCACCCTGCGTGCAAAAGTACAGCCGGTGCATGATGAATGTCGACCGGAGTTGTACAACGTTGACTTTGACCTCAGTTTTCGGGCCTTTGGAATCCGCAACTCAAACCTGCTGCGTCAGTATCTGATGAGTCACCCATGTGCACGACCAGGGGCTATTGTGTTGAAGGACTGGAGCAAGACAAGTGGAGTAAATAACTCTGTCAATGGGTACTTTACGAGCTATGCGGTCAACATTATGTGGATTTATTACCTCATCCAGAAGAAATACGTCCCATACGTCGACCCACTTGATATACCCGCGTCGTTGATAAATGAAACGAATTTTGATCCCAAGTACATCCCGATGGTGGATCCGACACTCACGCAGGAAGAATTGGATGTACTCTACCAGAATGCCGGTAACATGTTGGTGGGTTTTTTCTATTTTTACTCCTTTGAATTTGACTGGGAGCATCACGTCATCTCCCTGAATCGGCCTGGCATCACCACGAAGAAGATGCTTGGGTGGCATGTGGAGGATGTCGTACCCCCAATGTCTTCCTCACTGTCTGCAGGAGTTGGTGGTGGCGTCAACAGCAACACTGGCGGTGTGGGTGGGGGTGGCGCCGGTGCCACCACCAAGCGACACCCTACGCGGTACGAGTTGTGCATTGAGGACCCGTACGAAGAAAACCTCAATCTCGGCCGGCACATTGGCATAACGAAATCACTGCGTGTACGCACGGAGCTTTACCGAGGACTTTTGTCTCTTTTAAAGGACGGGGAGAAGGAATCGTGCGTCTTTGCATCCACAGATTTGGCGGAATCGGCTGATGCGACAGGGCCTCTTTCATCCAAGCTCCCGGTGCGTGCCCTGTTTAGGCTGATGGCACTGGCAACGCAGGCCATTGCGGAGTCCAAACGTTTCTCCAGTATGGATAATGCGAGCGGCGATATTGCGGGTGACGGTGAAGTCATGACGTCCACAAGCACGGGCACCGCTGTTGGATTGGCCCCATCGTCACAATCAAAGACGTCTTCCACGACGGGTATGGTTGGTAGAGTCTCTGAGAAGCAGCTGGAGAACATATTTCTTGAAAAGGCGGCTTTAGAGTATCAGCTCACGCGGAAGGTGTGGAACTGGCAGCAACTCATCCACCGCCTAGGATACAAGATCCACCGCGGTCAAGTGTTGCCTCGACGGGAACTGGGCGTTCGTTGCATCGCCAAACGGGACGCCGATGAATCGCTGAATGACATGCACGGCAGCAAGAATCCGGCGGTACGTGGACAGGACTTAACCGAAAGCATTTTACGCGACCTCAGTCGCGGTTTCATGACACTCACACCCGAGTGGGTGGCGTGGTCCAAACCCTGGGCAAGTCAGCACCTGCGTGGTTACAGCCGGCTGACAACCACTGCGGATCATCTCGTTTCGGCGGATGCCTCAGTGTCGACTTCAAATAAGGGTGTTCCATCTGGTGGAGAACCTGCGATGGGGCTCATGCGAGGGACGCGCCGTAACGCATTTCCCATGATTGGAATGAGGAATATTCCAATTTCAGTGCCAATGCCGATGATGACAGGCGCAGGAGTGGCAACAACAATCGCACGAATGTGCAATGGTGTCAAACGATTCTTACCGTTAAAATTTATTCGATAAAGACGATGAATCATTGCGTTTTTTCTTTATGCCCTTTTCCTTATATATATTATTATATTTTATTTTTTTTGGTTTGTTTGTGATGCACCCAAAATTCTTCACAGTGGTTGTATACGAAGCAGGCCTGAGTCACCTTCCTCTCTCACTGGTCGTTCTGCTTGCATGCATACACGCATAGACATACAGACATACATACATACATGGAGAAAGAGGAATGCATATGACTCACAAACAGGGTTATGGACACCGACAGAAATATTGTTGTTGTTGTTGTTGTTGTTTTATTTTGGCTGCTATCTTTTACTCCACTTTTTTTATATTTATTTATTTATTTATTTACGGTTGTTATTGCTTTGCTTTTTTCCTACCTTTTTTCTTTTCTTTTTTTCTTTTTGTTGTTGTTACCCCTCACCATCATCCACTCTACCCAGGTGGGGTAGCGGGTTTTGTTGTTGTTGTTTTTTTAGCACCGGGAGGAGCTGGAAAAGATGTCCCTCCTTCAGCGCAGTGTGGTCCTTCGCGCGTACCACTACGTACATCCCAAGACTGGAAGACCCATCCGCCAATTTCGCCGCTACGGTGACCCGCGTTTCATCAACAACGAGGCGGCGCTTATTAAAGGACAGTGGGGACTTATCACGGCGGATTTTGGCATGGTGACGCAGTCGCAACTTGAGAATGCGCGACTTGCGATCCTTCGTCGTCTCCCGCGCGGTGCATTTACGCTGACGATGCACACCGATTATGAGGAGTTTCCTGTTGTGAAGAAGAGTCCTGAAAGTCGCATGGGGGCAGGGAAGGCAAACATCCACCACTTTGCATTCAAGTTTACGACAGGGATCCCTTTGTTTGAAATTATGCCTGTCTCCTCGCGTCGTCTCAATCAGGCGGAGGCGGAGGGCATTTTTTTGGCCGGTAGACCTTTCATTCCGCTTCAGACAGTCGTAGTGCCACAGGGCCGTGTCGACGAGTACCATGTCTTCAAGTAGTGCAAGGCGCACCGTTTCACTGGAGATGCGCGGCGACACTGCGATTTGTGTGTACGTACATTGCCACCGTTTTGGACCAATTTTCTCCCATACGCACGCAATTCGCATGTCTCTTTATTTCGATGGACCCTTTTTTGGCGTGTGTTCAGTGGGTTTTTTTTTTTTGCTCTTGCCTCTGCGTGTGGTGGTGGTGGTGGTGGTGGGATGGGTTCACGCCGCGGGTTTTTAGCGGCTGATGGGGCGATGGTTTGACCTTCTTTTTATTGGTGTGTGTGTGTGTGTTTATTGCCGTTCATTTACTCCCTTGCATGCATGGCGTACTGTTCTGACTTCCTTCTTTCCTTTCTTCCCCTCTCGTCTGACACAACAACAAGAAGAAAAACGAGGAGGGTAACTGCAAACACCGTGTGCACATAACAGTACTCACACAAGCAATAAAAGCGTCAAGGAGGAGAGACGGGTGGAGGGGGAAACGAAAATCCCAACAACAACAACAACAAAAAAAAAAAAAAGAGAAAGAGAGAGAGAGAGGAAAAACACAACAACACAAAGGAAATATATATATCTTTTCCTTAAAGGGTCACGGACACCCTCCTTTCCAGGGCGAAGGAGGGAAGCAGCCAGTTAGACACATACAAGAGAGAAAGAGAGCAAGACGAAAGGGGAAAACCAAAAGGCGTGGAAAAAAGAAGTAGGCCGAATATACACAAGGAGGAACAAGAGGCCCAGTGAACATATATATATATATATATATATATATATATATATATATATAAGAGACATACATATACATTTATTTGCGTATTGAAAGAGGAGCAACATTAATAATTTAAAAAAGAAAAAGAAAAAGAAATTTTGCAGGAAGACAACGAAACACATGTCTTTTAGGCAACCAGACTCTCTCTCAGAGAGCAGCCTTAATAAAAATAATAACACACCCACGCGGAACGATGTTGATGGTGCCACGTCAAATGGATCCCAAACTCCGCCGACATCTTCGCATCTTCGCCCAATTGGTGGTGACAGTCCCAACCAGCAGAGCGTGGACCTGATGCATCCGATGACCCCAAGTGTGGATACACCTCGGTTTGGTCAAAACGGGATTTGCAGAATGAGCGACTGGAACTTGTCTCCCGCCAGTTTCTCTATTCCACTTAATTGCTCCACACCACCACCGCCAACAAGATTAGCACGCGCCACGTCGGTGCTTTCATCATCATCGCAGCGGTATTGTCATGATCCGTACTCTTTGGGTGGATCACAGCGCCTCAGCCCGCAGTCGAATCCGATAAGCAACGCTGCGTCCCCGCCAGAATGTCCCATTCCATCACTTTCTATTGAAGGATTTGATGACAACGCAACGGGTCCGCTGACCATTGTGACAGTTATGGCAGCTGTGCCGAAGGAGCGAAACGAGACCAGAGGCCGGCGCAAAGGACGCAATGGCGATCACTCCCGCAACAGCAAGGCGCTGCCCGACTTGCCACCACCGAGAGTCATGCGGTACCTGCCACCACCGCCACCGGGAATAGACAATGTTACGAACAGAATACTCTCGCTGGAGGAGTTGCACCCCATTGCAAAGCGTTGGTACGATCGAACCATTGCAGCCGAGGCTAGCTACAGCCAGCGCATTTCTTCCTCCGTTTGGCTGCCCACATTTGGGGCAATGGCTCAGCAACAGCCCCTCATTCCGGCCGGACGCGCAGTTTTGTGCCCACGTGTGGAGCATTATCCGAACAGCTTCTGGCAGTGGCTGGCGGATGCAGAGCGATGGTGGGAGGGCGCCGTTCGTCCACACACAGGAACTGCCATCCCACCACCACCGCCGCCGCCATACCTTTTTGGAGCATGAAAGCCGACGGAATAAATAAATAAGTGCTCATGTTTTTTGTGTTTACTTGTGTGTTTGTGTGTACCAATATGGCGTCTTAAGTGCAGTTGCCTGAAGCTGAACGGGCCGGATAATAAGTAGCAGGAATGATCGTAGTGTGAGGGCTGGGGAGGAAGGGGAAAAGAAGAAAAATGGAAGAAAGGGGGAAAACAGGAGAAGGCGCCGTGGAAAGTGCGCCCACTCCACCCATTCTTATTCCCTTTTTCCTTGTGCATATGTGTGTCTGTGTGTTGGTTGGTTGGTTGAGTAGTGGAGATGGATGGATTTTATGGCCATGTCTCTTGTGGTATGTTTTACGGTATGATGGTCGGCTGGGAGTAGGAACAACGAGGACGCAAAAACACGATGACGAAGGGCGTTGGTGGGAAGCAGGGAGGGGAGTGAAGAACAAGTAAGAACAGGGGCCTTCAAGAGGAAAAAGAGGGAGGGAAATTAAAAAGAAAAAAGGATGAAAAAAGAAAAAAAAAACGAAAAGGAATTTCAAAAAAAAAGAAAAAAAAAAGGAATAAAAACAAAACAATGAAAAAAAGAATGGTTAAATAACGGCATGTATACACGTGATTATATATATATATATATATATGTCTACGTGTGTGCCTGCGTGTGTGCCTGCGTGTGTGTGTGTGTGCGTGTGTACATTTTGCGGAGGGGCGGTGGGGGCGACGGGGAGAAGGACAACAAAGGCCAGGAAAAGTGTCAAAACGAAAAAAAAAAAAAAGGGTTCAAAATAGCAATTAATAATGAAAAGAAAAGGGAAAAATTTATTGCGACAAACACATCCCATGACGATGTGTATACATATGTTTATGTATGTATTTATGTATTTATGTAGGTCCGACCGCATGCGTGGATAAGAGGGATAGGGCTGTAAGTACATGTGATATGAAATGCATGGGACCGCAGTGTCATGTGAAACTCAAAAAATACGCCACATGAGGCCAGGAGTGATGCAACCGCAGGCGCACTTATCTCCATTCAACGTGCGTGCGTACATGCCGCAAGTCGGTTGCCTCTTATTTTTTCACTCCCTTTCCACAGACCCTTTCCCTCTGTGTTTACCACACACCCACGTAAGTGTGGAGAAATGGCAATGATTTCAAAGATCGTTTTCCCCAGCCGCTCCTATTCAACGTCGGGTTTTTTTTTTTTTTTTTTTTTTTTTTTTTTCCCCTTTGGATGTTTGGTTTGTTTTCACTTGGAGGAGTTGTGGAGCGATGGCGACGGGGACGAACAAACAAAAAGGAGAGAAAAATAAAAAACTTCATGTCTGCTGATCGAACTGAAAACAAAA